TCACCCAGCCCTTCTAATGGGAATGCATGAATTGTTACATCCACTAAAGATAATTCCCAACTAAAATAAAAGTATAATCTTGAGGAAGTTCAGAGGGACAAAGTACTCAAGACATGTGAGATTTCTCACGAGATGCCCTTTGATATGTTGCTGTACATCAGATAAGAAATGACTGTGGGTCATGAGTGTCCAGGAGCTTTGTTGGTCTCTGTAACTCTGTTGTTCCATCTCATTGCGCTTGCCTCATGGGCATCCCTTACCTGCCAGGCTCTGCACTAAGCGTGCTATATTCATCATACTATTTGATCCTCATGACATTCCTAAAGGGTAGGTGGTGTTATCACCCTTCGTGTCATACGAGGATACAGAGACTCAAAATTTTAAGTGACCTATTCAAGGCCACGTAGATCATTCACTAATAATTTGACTCCAGAACAAAAACCTACATCCTTATCACTGACAAGATGCTGCTGTTCTCTCTTTTTTGCATGTGATGGAGGATGCCCACAGGTAGCAAAATCAGAGCTCAGCCAAGAGAGGAAAGAGGTGTCCTGCAGGAAAGGCAGTGGAGTGGGGTCTGGGGGCCTCTCTGTGGTGTCGTCAGTCACTCGCAGAAGCCCAGCTCCACCGCACCCCGTGGCCCTCTCAGGTTTGGACCACCTTTCCTGGTGTTGGGTCCTGTTGGTCTGGCTTAATGGAGTAAAGCCACTGAGGCCATCCAGCTGCCCTACGCCCCCACTGGGCTGCGGATGGGATGGGGAGACTGGCTATATGGACTTCTGTTCGTCTGTTAGTGTTTTTATATTTTCAGGAAAATTCTTCTAAAGGCTATGGAGTAAGAAGCTTCAGGGTTCAAACCACTACTTCCTAATGTGTGTATATTGTAAATTATTCAGTTGGGACACCATCCTGGGGAGTTTTTCTCATAGGTCTCCTTGTCAAAAGCACTTTAAGCAGTGGGAGTTGGGTAAATGATTTGGCCTGTGGGAAGGACTTGAAAAGAGTGCCAGAGGCTGCCTGCTGACTCCAGGGCACTGAGCTGACCAAGCAGACTGGCCTTCTGTACTCACTGGTTGACGAGAAGGAAGCCTTCAGAAAGCGGGAAGTGGGGTGGGGACACAGTGTAATTTGTTTCTCTGCACACCTTGGAACCTTGGTGTCCATGGCATGGCTTTTAGCCACTGAGAGTGGCTTGACTTAGAGAAAGCCAAACACATTTTCCAGAACTCTTGACTCCTCTTGTCTATTCTGGATGGATTGTTTTATGTTAAAGGGTGGAAATCCTATAGTCTGATCGGATAATCTGGGTTTGAATTCTCTTTTATGATGTGCTACTTGCAACTACCCAACCAGGTTCATGTGGCAGGCTTGCATGAAAAAATTTTTAAATGGACTAAGGAAGGCAATAGTATTATAATACAGTCATTAATATATATGAACATCTACATGTATATGTTATTTTGTAATTAATATTATATATATTCATATTTATCATAGTAATAAACACCATTGTTCACAAGCCGCCATTATCCTGACTCCTGGATAACAGCTGGGGCGACAAGTGACTGATGTTCTTGTTTGGGTCATCTGACTGTGAACTTCTCCTCTGCCTTGGGCTATAGCTCGTTGCGTCACTCAAGGTTCTCCGTAGTTCTCTTCAAGGCTTTCTTGGCCGTACATGCTCTGGGAGTCCTCAGCGGTAAAGCAGAGGCTTAAGGCAGAATTGGAGATGCTGTGCTCACTTCACGTGGGAAACCACTTAGTGATTTTCAAGGTGGCCGGGAAGCAACCGCCTGAGCTCAGTACAAGCAGGGGCAGGGGTTTCCCTTCTCATCTGTCCACAGGTCGTTTCCACTGGCCTGCAAGGCTTTCATTGCTCAAGGTCTTTTCTGCTCCTTTTTTTCCCCTCCTCTTCCTTCTCTTTCCTCTCCTCCGGTTTTAAAACTTCACCTTAAAAATAAATGTGGAAAAACTCATGCTCATTAGAGAAATTTTGGAAATGAAAGAAATAGCCAGTCACCCATAATCTTATTATCTGAAGACCACTGTTGTTAACATTTGATAACATTTCCTTTCAACCATTTCCTCTATAATGATTTTTTAACAGTTGTGATTATAATTTAATCTACAAAATATTGTGCCTTTTTATTTGTTTTTCTGAGTGTCAGGATTTTATATTTTTGCTGCTTTTTATATTATAAATTCTTATATATTCCACCCTTTAAAATATTTATAAATTCTTCAAGAATTTATTTTAATGAATGATCATTCATCAAGAAGCTGTGTTGGTGTTTACTTCATTGTTTCCATACTCCTGGAAATCCCTATGGATTAAAGGGTATTTTCTAGGGCCACCTGGGTGGCTCAGTCGGTGAAGTATCCGATTTCAGCTCAGGTCATGATCTCACGGTTTGTGAGTTCGGGCCCCATGTCAGGCTCTGTGCTGACAGCTCAGAGCCTGGAGCCTGCTTCAGATTCTGTGTCTCCCTCCCTCTCTCTGCCTCTTCCCTTCTTGCACTCTGTCTCTCTCTGTCTCTCAAAAATAAACATTAAAGAAAATTAAAGAATATTTTCTTAATAGGAACTCTGAGAAGTGCAGCTATCTAGCTGCAAACATGAGCATTCTAAGCCTGTTGTCATAAGAAAACAAAATTGCTTTCTGAGTCGATGTAACCATTGTTTGTCCAACAACATAAGCATGCCCGTTTCACAGCCTGGCTTTTTAAAATGTGGTGACTTAGGGCAAAGGTAAATCATTGTCTCGTTGGATCGTAGTAATCTGTGCCGTATTTCAGTGGTATAAAAATAATTAAAAATGCCTACTTTTACTGAAATGTCCTGTTTATAGAAGAATATTGGAGATATGCACACACATGTTTATACATATACAACTATCTTTCTCTCTTTTAAAGAAATGACTTCAGGCGCCTGGGTGGCTCAGTCAGTTATGCATCTAACCCTTAATTTTGGCTCAGGTAATGATCTCATGGTTTATGAGATCAAGCCCTGTGTTGGGTGCCGCACTGACAGTGTGGAGCCTGCTTGGGATTCTCTCCCTCTCCTTTCTCTCTGCCCTTCCCCCATGCATGCATGCTTTCTTGCTCTCTCTCTCTCTCTCTCCCCTCTCCTCTCCTCAAAATAAATAAATAGAACTTAAAGAAATGACTTATTTTTACTCATTTCTGCACTATTGATCAGGTAGGAACATGGAGTTTTATGCTGAGGTTTATGAACTGCTACCAAAACAAAAAAACCCCTAAAAAACTAGGATGTGTGGAATTGAGGAGGTGTATAGTCAGCGAAGACGTAAAGAATGAAAATAGCACAATAGAGTTTGTGCTTAGTTACCTTGTGCTTGGAAAGCCCCTGATAGGCTCTTGGAGTAAGAATTAAGTGTATTATATTCTGCAGATGATAAAAAGCGCCCTGGAATGAAAGCCAACATGGTCCTTTCAAGTGGAGAGGGGGAACGAGAGACTGGGACACCTTTCTGAAGGAGGGATCATGGGCATTTGGTTTCACTCCCTGTTGGGGAATCAGTTCATAGGCTCATCCCTGTAAGTAGAGCACGAAATGAAGAGGGACCAGGTCACTTGATCACAGAGCTCATTGAAGAGATTCAATCCCAGAGGAGTATTGTGTTTGTGGGAAGGGGCAGGTAGTTGGTCCGTGAGGGCTTCTTAGACCATGAAGTTGCAAAGATACTTCTGTCTTCTCTCGCGTGACTTAACTATGTCATTTTGTTTTCCACCCCACCTGATACCCTTCCCTCTTTTTCGTGTTCTGCCCCTTCCCTCCATCGTCTTCCAGGTGAACATGCCTACAAGTGTTCTTGGTGCTCGTTTTCCACCATGACAATCAGCCAGTTGAAGGAACACTCCCTCAAGGTCCACGGAAAAGCCCTGACCCTCCCCAGGCCACGGATTGTCAGTCTGCTCTCCTCACACGCTCACCACTCCTCCCAGAAAGCCACCCCTGCCGAAGAAGTAGAAGACTCTAATGGTAATATTGGGCTCCCAAGCCCCAGCTAACTACCTAAGGTTGAGGAGGGCTGGGATCAATTGCCAGTCATTCTTTCTAGAGGAAAATCGTATGCAAAAACCTGATGGTTCAAGTGAAGGAAGAAATGTGGAAAGGTTGAAACCGTAGAGAAATTGGAGTGGGAAGGTGACGTGCCCTCGGTGGGTGTCTGGTGCTGCGGCATAAATGTCAGTCTAGACTCACGCGAGCATTGGCTGTGTGGATGGACTAGCGTTGGAGTCTTCCGTGTGGTTGCAAGCAAGAAAGTGGATAGGACGCCAGGCAGACTTATTTCATTGTTTACTTAGTTACTTACTTATGTCCCGTCTTGTTTCAAAGAGCAAAAACAAAAACAAAACCCATGAAGTATGTCTGGGTGCCCCTCTCCGCTCTACAGGAAACAGAGGAGGAGAGGGAAGGGGGAGTGGATGGGGCAGGTATGTCTGATTCCGTCACAAGATAATTTGGGGGTAATGTGATTTCTTAGAGCCAGAGGATGTTAAGGAAGTAGCAGTTGGGAGGAGGGTCTAACTGCCCAGGCTTGGAGCTTCAGAAGAAATACCGGAAGCCATGGAGGACTCTCCTCACTGGCCGTGTACCCAAAGCTGTAGGGTATGGGTGGAGCAAAAGGCTGGTTTATTGTTTTGACCAGACCAAGAAAAACAGAGGCGTTTTGGTCATTCGGCTTACCTCAGGTGACCGCAGAATCAGGTGCTTAGGACAGCAGGAAGCATGCAGATTCTCAGGGATGTGGAAGACCCGAGAGCTGCTCCTTCCCTGCCTCTCGTGCTCGAATCCCCTTTGCAGCACCTCCAGTAACCAGACATCTACTACCAGCTCAAGTTCCTCCCAGTCTGGGAATGAACTGTTCCCAAGGTCTACTGTTTCATTCTTGGGAGGAGCTTAGTGGGACTGGGAGGAAAGTTCATGGGCTCTTTGCAACAAAGGCTTGGCTTCGAGTCTGACTTCTCTCAATGCCAGTTGTATTTTCCCGGGCAGTCTTCTGCATGCACATAGAATCGGATAACGATACTCCCTCCACTGATTATCTTGAGAGATTAAGGAGAAAAGGCACACGCATTAAATGCCCAGCACATCTGACACATGGTGGGTATTTAATAAATGGTCATTTCATTGCTGTGATTTTCATCCTTTCATTGCACTTTTGGCCTTTGGGGCCATTTCTAAGAAGTATGAATTTGGAGTTATCTAAAGGTTTAAAAAGATAGTCTCTTCAGGTAACCTGCAGATCTGACAGCCCAACATGTCAACGTGGTCTGATTATCAGATTATCAAAAGAGTCAACGAATAATCTTCCTTCGTGAGGTCTGCAGAAAGACAGTTGTGGAAGGAGAAGGGCAGGGGAGTTCCAAGACTAGAGCTGCCTTTATTGAGTTAGGGAACTTGGTGGCCTCGCCTTTTCAGTCATCAAATGCTGTGTTAAACACAAGTGCTCCTTACCAGTATTCCTGTCTTAAAGGACTTTGGTTTAACAAGGATAGGCTTTGTTATTATGACTGTGGCTTGTAATAAAGTGAATCTTCTCAATTGCTGTGTATTAGTTTAAAGTATAGGAGGAAGTCTGGTGCATATTGTTGTTGTTTTCTTGGAAAACTTGGAGTCTCAGAACTGGTGGTGGGGGGTGGGGGATGAGGCAGGGAGCACATGTGAAATAGGACCTTGAGATTCTCTTCATCGGAAGAGATTGGTACGCTACAACAAAGGGCAAAATATCATTGGACGCAAATTGTAGGATATTTATTAACATGATTTTTAATTAAGTGTGTTCATCTGAAATGGATGCTATACCTGCGGAGCCATTTGGGTGAAATTGATCCGTCCACACCCCATTTCCAGCAAGGGCTTTTCCTGGGACCTTTGTCTCAATAGCACACCTTTTTTTCCCCTTTGTCCTCCTCCCTTGAAAGGTGGGCCTCAGTCACAGGGCAAGGGAATCCCACAGATCCCTCACTGTACCCGAGACCTTACTCTGCCAAGAAGCTGCACTGGGCACGGAAGAAGCATAAATGAACACAGAACGATTCTGGTCCTCTGACAGTTTAAGACCAAACATATAGAGGAGACTGTCAGCATGGTTTTGAACCAACCATAACCCTAAGCCTGAGGTCTAACCTTTTTGGGGAGTGATTTCAGATTCTTGGAAGATGAGGTCAGGACCTTGGGGTGGGTGGTTGCAGAAACATGATGGTAGGATATTAACTTTCTGCTGAACACAGAGAGTCTGTCTTTATTCGAGCACAGGAAGATAATTTGCAATATATAAAAGTGTTTTCTTTTCCCTTCTGTAGAAAGAACACAGCGACCGTGAAAGCCCTTGGTGGCAGCTCTGTAGTGAGGCCCACACAGAAGTCATTGGACCTACACCATTTTTAATGTATATAAATAACCTTTATCAATGGGTCAGCGATGATTAGTTTAATTTGATTTAAAAAAAAAAGCTTGATTAGAAGGCGGGTAAACAGAAAGAAGACATCAAATGGGCTATTCTCATGAGCGAGTAACTCCATGGAAAGAGTAATAGTTTATTCGTTTAATAAATACTGTCTTGAACTGTTGCCGTGGGTCTTGCCTAGTTTTGGATGGCCAGGAATGACCAAAGAGGTTTGAGACTGGGGTGACTATTTGCTAGGGGGCTGAGTGGTGGATTCCTAGAAACGACTAAGTCTGGGGCATGAAAAAACAGCTGTGGGGCTAGACAGTAGCCTGTAAATCATGCCTTGAATGGTGTTTGAAACACGCATGTGAAATCCAATTGCACATTTTAATAGGGAGAAGCTGTGGGGCTGTTGGCTCTCAGTTCGGGTTTCCCACACTGCAGATGCCAGGACATTGTGAACACAGGCACCGAAAATGTGTTGCAGGCCTGGGGGGAGTAGAGATCCATAAAACCAGGGAAATCACCAGTGTGTCCTTGGCTTTCCGATTCCCTAGCGAGGGATGTGAATAAAACTAGTTGACATGCTCACTGTTATTTGCAGTGGTCAAATGCTTGCAGTCTTGAGAGCGAGCCAGTCTTCTCTGGCAAGGGGAAACAGGCTGAGAAAAGAAGGTTCTTCCAAAGCTGCTTTCCCTCCCAGCCCGGAGGGAGGGAGGGAGGGAGGGGATCTGAGAGAAGGTGGAGGGGAGGCTTCACCCAGCTGCCTGGCCACACACCGGTTCTGTACATAAACAGGGCTCTTGGGCTCTGGGCTGTCAGTCTTGACATGTTTCACCAGCACAAGAATCCTTTCTATATTCTCTGCGATCAGTTGTTGGAAGGAAAAGCAACGGTGGTTCTGTGTGTAGGATAATGGGAAATGACACATAATTGCTATTCTAAACAATGCATTCAGGGGAAATCATAAGGTTGTCAACAAAAGGAAGTGCATTCTGTGTTTGTGTTTACTGGGTTCCTTCTGCCTTATAAAATATAGGACTGGTTTTATCATGCTTTTTCCAAGTCTCTGCATTCAGTACAGAAAAATACATAGATACGCACTTCTATAAAATCACAAAGAAACTAGCATAGCAGAGTTTAGTTAGGAGATTTGTTTGGGTCTCAGAAGCTGTGCGATACATGGGCAGTGGCCATGTCATTTAAAGTTGAGCTATATGCTTTGTAAGTCAGGCCAGTGGTGACATTTCCTTGTTCTCCTCCCTTGAATTTTCCTGAAAGAACAGATTATTTTGTTTCTTCTGTCTACCCAGATATGCTGTGTGGAACTGCCGACTTTAGGAATAGCCACTGTGATGTGTTTAAAACAAAAATTAAGACAATAAGACCAGGTGGGGCGCCTGGGTGGCGCAGTCGGTTAAGCGTCCGACTTCAGCCAGGTCACGATCTCGCGGTCCGTGAGTTCGAGCCCCGCGTCAGGCTCCGGGCTGATGGCTCAGAGCCTGGAGCCTGTTTCCGATTCTGTGTCTCCCTCTCTCTCTGCCCCTCCCCCGTTCATGCTCTGTCTCTCTCTGTCCCAAAAATAAATAAACGTTGAAAAAAAAAAAAAAAGACAATAAGACCAGGTACAAAATAAATAAGGTGAATGAGGATAATATAGTTCTTCAGTCAACCTGGGGAAAACACCATGAACTTTTGGTCATGCTACCTTTTTCTCTTTACAGTGTGGGTCTCGATACAGTCTGCCCAATGGGGAAATCTATATGCTGTTAGGAATTAGCAGAAAAATGTTGTAAGGAGCTTTGTGATTTTTTTTTTCTGTTAGTAGAAGATTTTTCTGTTAGAACTTTTCAGTTGGCTTTTCTATTCTTTTTTTTTTTAATTATAAACATTTTTTAATGTTTTTTTAATGTTTATTTTTGAGAGAGAGAGAGAGAGAGAGCGAACACAGGCAGGGGAGGGGCAGAGAGAGACGGAGACACAGAATCCGAAGCAGGCTCCAGGCTCTGAGCTGTCAGCACAGAGCCCGACGTGGGGCTCGAACTCGTGAACCACGAAATCATGACCTGAGCCCAAGTTGGGCACTCAACCGACTGAGCCACCCAGGCGCCCCTACTCTGGTAACTCTTCTATTGATGATTTCCTCAGTGCTCTGTTGCACTCATGGGTATGCTGTTGGTTCTGTCCCCTGGTTTCTAATGGGGACAGTTAGGTATAAGTACATATTGAATACTTCTTTTGAATGACCAGCGGTTTCTTGGAGACATCACAATTTTCAATTCAGTTAATTTATATTGAGTCCCTTATGTCTAAGTAACCCCACAGAACCAAATTTAGGGGGGTACATTTATTTCATTCCCATTTAAGAGTAAAGTTCAAGAGGCAAATCTCGTAAAGATGAACCCTCAGAGACCGCTTTAACAGAGATTTTTCTGATATATTCTGGGAGAGGAAAAGATCTACCTTGGTGAAGTGTTTTAAACAGGTCATTGTTCCCTGTATAACCACACCTTCTCTAGAGGTGGGAAGCCGAAGGTTGAAACACAGTATAAGCCTTTCTAACTCTCAGAAGGACACAGCAAGTGTAGTAGAGCTGGAGAGGTGTGACGTTATTAGTGTGGTCACCTGGTAGCAGAGCCAAATGTACACAGTCGTTGACCCTGGAGGCGGCTGGCTTGTTCTCTGTATCTTTGAAAAAAAACAAAAAAACAAAGCAAAACAAAATCGTGTTTAGTTGCAGTGAAATCCAAATCCAGAGAAGCTGTAGAATGACACTGACCAACAGAACTCCTGGGTCAATAACATCTTCTATTCTACCCCCAAATTTTACCCGCCAGGATTTTAACACAATGTATTGGTTAGAAGAGATGCTTTTTATGATACTTATCCTGGGTAATTTATAGATAAGCCAGGGATGGGCAAACTTTTTCTGGAAAAGGCCAGATAGAAAATATTTCCAGCTTTGTGAGCCATATAACCATAAACACTGTGTAAGTAAATGGACTTGGATGTGTCCCAATAAAACTTTATGTACAAAAACAGGGAAGGCCCAGATTTGGCTTCTGGGCAGTGTGTCGCTGACCTCTGCCCTAGGTAACTGGGGGAGGAGAGTGGGGATTACAGCAATACCCATGAAATTAATCCAGTCTTTAATAAATGTCATTATAACCTTTATATTTAACGTGGACTAGTCCTAGATGCCACCTAAAACATAACTTGACCTAAATATATTCTTTATTTCATATGTGAAATGTAGGGCATTAGATAGAATTTTTTTTAAATATTAGCCCGTGAATTACATTTAAGCTTAAAAGAAAATCTTCTCTAAGAATTATGTTGAGTCTAGCGCCAAGCTATCAACTCATTTAACCTTGACTGCGGCAATACCTGACACTTAAAAATTAAGATCTGAGATGCCTGCTTTTCAAAGAGAAGCTTTTCAGATTTCTAAATAGGTCAGACATAAAATTCAACCTTTAAGAGGATCCAATTAGTTGCTAGGGCATCAGACCTTCCACACAGGTTCCAATTGCAATCAGATTTCTCTTGGGGTGAAAGAAAGAAGAGGTGGTTTCTTTAAAAATGACAATAATGAAATGGAGACTCTAGAGTGAATAATTCTGAAGCATAAAGATTTACACCATTTCTAGCACATGGGATACAAGGCATAATTTTAATAGCTTGACCGTAATTTTTAATAGGTTCTGCTGGTCACAAAATTATCTGACCAGAGAATACTAACCTTCCCTTTTTGACATCAGACTTTCTACATTAAAACATGATCTAGAGTTTATTTTAATGCTTCTTATGAAGAATGGCATTTCTACTAGAAAGATTTAGAGGTTTGCAGCTTCAGTGGTGCAGTGGTACAGATGATTCTGTATCTTCTGTTGCACGCCCAGCAATCTTTGGACGTGAAGCTGTTAGAACTTGGTGTCAGTGGCAAATTCGAAACCTCCAGAATCACCACCACCCCGAAGTCGAGTATCATGTGAAAGACCCTTCCCAGAGAACCCACCTGCCTGAGATTTCTGTGACTTTTTGAATTAGCCACAGTTTCATGTGCCAAGGATTAAAGAACATTTCAACTGTAAGCTTTCTGTGTCCTGGGAACTTAGTCAACTAACCCATCTCCCTCTTCTCATGCCAAGAAAAACATTTGTTCATCAGAAATGTAAGCATATACTACTGAACTCATTCGGAGGTAGTTCCTAGCAACGCTGGAGTTTGCTGCATAATTCCACATCTGATTTTTGCATCTTTTGGTGGTTGGCTTAGATATTACCTTAAGTCTCCTAGAACCTACATTGTGGGAAGTAACTAAAAGAAAGAAGAAATCTGCTTTATTCTTTGGCAGAAAATATGTTCTGCCGTTGATCAAATCATCTAACACCACTCACCTTGGTCTTTTTTGGAAAGAAAGAATTTTCCTGGTCTTCTCATTGCCTGCGTCAATTTTTCTTTCCCTGGAACTGGAGCTAGATATTTTAGCCCAATTATATTTGATATAAAATCCTTCAAACTCTTCTTGAGACTTGTGATTCTATAGGCCCTCTCCTGTCTTTCAAATATTGTTCTGCACGAGAGGATTTTACTCAAGCAGAAGGGAAGGGTATTGGATTTGGGGGAACCAGCAAGAATGAGCCATGATTCAGAGGTAGAGATCCTAGGACAGTCTTGCTGGATCCAGCAGAAGGTATGTCCTGAGCAAGATGAGTATGTGAAAAAGAATGTTTTTTTCCCCTGTGTACAGATGGGAAGAAGATGCTAGAAATAATCTTTTAGAAATAACTATTAGTTATTTTTAAAAATAAATTGTATGAGTTTTGATGGTACAGCCCAGGAAAGCATGTGCAGATGATACACACATTTTCTTGACTCATTCATCATCCTAAAGACTATCCTGTGGAAAAAATCCCAGTGGTGGTGGTTAAATAAAAATGGCAAGGTAAGTAATGGCCAAAGTGACGTGAGAGGTTCAGGTAGGAGGGTCTGCTTGCTTTTTGCTAAATTCAGTCCCTTGTAGTCTGTGCCCAGGAAGGGATAACTTCCTGTTATAGGGGCTTTTTACTTTGCAAGCAGTTTCAGAGTCACGAACTTGAGTACAGGGCCCAGCTAAGGTTTTACTTACCAGTATACTGCTCTTCTAGATGTCATTCAAGGGTTAGGTTCTTCAGCTTCCTCAGGGACACAGAATATTCTTAGATGACTCATGCAAGCCACTCTCCTTATGTCATCTTTTATTTTCATGCGCTGTGAGCCCTCCACCAAGGCGACAGTGATAGCTAGTCCAGCATCAGGGCCTTCTAAAGAACCCCTTAATCTAGTCCTTTGCTTTTAAGCATCGCTGGCTATTTTTTCCTCCTTGACCAGTTTGAAAGTCATTCATTCTGGTTTTGCGATAAAGGGTTCTACATGTCTCTTGTTTAGTTTCTAAGTGATAAAATTAATCATGATTTTTGTTCTTTAAATGCTGCCGATTGCCTCAAATTTGTCATCTGATTTAATGTGCCTGATGAATCAGAGGTACAAATTATTAGTCTCATTGTATAGAAAAGGAAACTAAGACACAGAGGAGCGAAATGGTGAGTCCAGGAGTCCTAAAACGCTGTGCCCTTAATCTTTGTGTCATCTCATGGGAGTCTTGTAGCAGAAATGCACATCCACACATGATCCAGAGTGGCTAAGATCCAACGGCCTCTTCTATGTTTGGAGACCCTGAAATCTTCCAAAAGAAACTAGAGGCAAGTTTTTATTATTGACTGATATTTAGAGCTTAAATTGTTGGATATACAGATAGCATTCAGTTAGAAGCGCAGAATAGAATGAAGTTGGAAATGGTGCATTTGGATTTCAATAGTTCTAGCCATGGAGAGAAGAAATGGAAAGGTCATAGAGGGCTTCTTGGAAGAGGTAGGGCTCAGGCTGGGCCTTGAAGGATACATGAGTTTTACCCAGGTAGGAGGCAGTCCATTCAAGGTGGGAAGAGTATCAGAAGTGAGGAAACCTACAGAAGGAGGGATCCTAGGACACAAAGAGACCAGGCTGGCTAGAATGGAGGGTGTATGTTCCTGAGAAGGCAGTTGGTGAGGTGAGGAGAGGTAGAGCCAGACTACAGTGGTACTTAGTACCAGGAAGAGGTCTTTAAATTAAAGATGCAGGCTGGGGGCGCCTGGGTGGCTCAGTCGGTTGAGTGATCAACTTCGGCTCAGGTCATGATCTCACGGTCTGTGAGTTCAAGCCCTGTGTCGGGCTCTGTGCTGACAGCTCAGAGCCTGGAGCCTGCTTCCGATTCTGTGTCTCCCTCTCTCTCTGCCCCTCCCCCGCTCATGCTCTCTCTCTCTCTCTCTCTTTCTCTCTCTCTCTGTCAAAAATAAATAAACATGAAAAAAATTAAAAATAAATAAATAAATAAAGATGCAGGCTGAACAGGGAAGACCAGAAGCAACAGCAGCAAGGGCTCTGGCTCCTTTGGAAGCAGGAGGGTACTTTTGAACTAGAGGGACAATCAGCTAGCATCTGTAGTCTTTGAGAATGAATGTGGATTAGAAATACTTATGAATAGGGGTGCCTGGGTGGCTCAGTTGGTTAAGCATCCGACTTCGGCTCAGGCCATGATCTCACGGTCCGTGAGTTTGAGCCCCGCGTCGGGCTCTGGGCTGACAGCTCAGAGCCTGGAGCCTGCTTCGGATTCTATGTCTCCCTCTCTCTCTGACCCTCCCCCGTTCATGCTCTGTCTCTCTCTGTCTCAAAAATAAACAAACATTAAAAAAAAAAATTACACTTTAAAACAAAAGAAATACTCATGAATATTAGTTCTCTTTTCAGATGCCTACTGTAGATTGAGGCAGCTGGGTGGCTCAGTCGGTTAAGCGTCTGACTTCGGCCTAGGTCATGATCTCATGGTTCATTAGTTGGAGCCCCGTATCAAGTTCTCTGCTGTCAGCACAGAGCCTGCTTTGGATCCTCTGTGCCCCTTGCTCTCTGCCCCTCCCCCACTCATTCATTCTCTGTCTCTGTCTCTCTCCCTCCCTCTCACCCCCTCCCTCCCTCGCTTTCAAAAATAAACATTGAAAAAGTATAGTTTAAAAAAATGCCTGCATAGATTATTCGTTTTGATTACAAAAGTAACACCTACTCAAAATTAAGGAATAGCTTCGTGGCAATACGTAACGTAAAATACTAGCCTTAATGCCAGCCTTTTTGTTTCAGTACCTGAATTAATCTCTATTAACAGTTTGCCGTAGAGTCCTCTAGTGTTTGTTCTATGCATATAAACATAGGTTCTATGCATATAAACATACGGACCATAATATACAAACCAGTTTTTTTCATGTTTTTCCTCTCACTTGATAAGTTCTATTATTGCTTGACTCTTGATATTTTAAAATACGAGGGTCTGTATCTCAAAACAAACAAAAATGATTCCCCTTCATAAAATAAATATTGTGTACTTATAAATGTTTCCATTATGTATGGGGGGGGGATGTGTTTAGGTTGGGATTCTCAGAATTAGATAAGACCTTTGTGGTTTTGTCAGTCAAAAATCCACTAATTGTGTTAATTTTAAGGCTGGTCCATTGCCTAAGAAATTTCTTAAGTAAAGTTTTTTTTTCCTACTGCCTAAGGCTTAAAACATTTGAAATATTGGCAAGTTGTCCATAAGTTAAATGACAAAATCAAGATTGCAGACTGTCTAGACTGTTCTGAGTATGAGCTATAATGAGATTTTGCTAGGTGATAAATATAAAATATGCCGGGTAGCTTCTGACCCTCGTATTCACTTCCAGTACTAGACTTGCCAAATATTCTTATAATTGTCGCTTATCGCATCTGTCTCCCCAGCTAAACTGTGTGCTCTCTGAGGTCAAGGACTGTTTCAGAGCCCTGGCAGTTTGGCAGGCCATTCAATAAATATTTGTTGGTTTGAATTAGGGCCGCAGAAGGAACCACACACGAGGGAATCCGACAGAACAATAGTCTATATGTGGAAAAGCCTGGGAATTTTAGTGACTGAGCTCAGCTGTGCCACATAATGTTTGGAAAAAGCCAGTGGAATCGGGCTTCATGTGTACCATGCTATGCTGTCCTACACTGCTGCACATTTCCTTGGTCAACCTGTCTCTGCCAGTTAACTAACTTTGGCCTTCTCCCTACTGACAGCGCCATATCCCTTTCAACTTTATTCAACCAAAGTGACTAATCTCTTTCCTCTAAGTGGCCGAGAAGAGTGAACATATACCTTACTCTCTGCCACCTCGTGAGAGTATGTGTTTCTTTCATTTAATGGTCCCTTTTCGAATGCCTGCTCTCTGCTTATTTCTTTCTCCTCACCTTCTGGAATGTTCTTTTTCTTTCCTCAGTGAACTCTGGGCCAGGTTCACAACTTCCCTTCTTACTCCAGCCATGACCATCGTGCTCTGGAATTCCAATATACTAAGACTTGATGATAATGACCCGACAAATAGTTGATCTCTTCAGGTAGGGAGACTTACCTCCTTGGTGATTAAGCTTCAACCACCATTCCCTTGTGGCTGAATTTACCATTACACAGTGCTTCACCTCCAGCATCTCAAACGCTTAGTTCTCTCTGACCTCTCTACCCAAACCAGGCCCTGGGAAGTTAGCCATTTCAGGGGGGTTTCTTCAGCATCCTGTGTCTCGAACTCCCTTGTCCTCCTCTGGTGTCCAGTTTGTCAGACCCCAACCCTGAAGAGCCCTCACTCCACTTCCTCTGATGTTAGCCATTCTTCCTGGCTCCAATCCTAGGCTTTTCCGATGTGTTTTCAAGGTTATCTTTGTTAACCACAAATCTGATTTATTTTCAAGAATAAATTTGAGCTTATTCAGACTTAATCCCTTTACAACGCCAATTTACCTGTAAGTATTCCAAGTGTTTCTCTTGAGTAAAAGAGACCTGAATGGAGTCACAACCACTGTGCTGGAAGTTGCAAATAGCTTCAGTCTGTCTTGCCTGCCCCAAAGCTAATAGTGGACAAATGGCGGGAGCAGCTATGTGGGTAATAGCCATGCCAGTCACAAATGATTATACTTGTGCATTGTGATTTTACTGTTACTCTGTTTTTTGGTTGTCTAAAATTTTGCCCACGGGGAAGTTCTTAATTAGGAATACAGAGAGGGGAAGATGAAGAAATGCACTTCTACCTTGCACGCACCAAGAGTAACGCCACCAACGTGTCCATTAGAAGAGACCATTGTGATAACTAAATCAAAGGCAGTGAAGTATCAGTAAAATTCCCGACTGACACGGTGAGAGTGGTAAGTCCTACATACTGTTATGTTAATAATAAAAGAGGATCATTTTTGCTAGTACATTACAGTATATTTTTGCATTTTTGTTATGTTACCTACCTGGTGGAATACTGGATAACCTAACTCTTTAAAACATTAAATTCAGTGTAAAAGATGGATTTATTTTTTTCTCCTTCTACTTTTTCTATAACATTATTTTTATGCGCCTCTATCCCTGTAGCGTAACAAAAAGCTTTATAGTACTTTTCACTATATTTCTCCCTCTTCTAATTTTCTGGGATATTATCCAGATCACAGTTATGCCTAGGGAAGAATGTTAAGAACATAGATGTTCACCTGTTTTGTGTTGTCATAGCAGCAATGAGTTTCAGAACTATGGGATGGAGGTCTGATAGCTCTGTGAGGGTCAAGGGCAGGCTTAATTAAGATTTTATTTATTTATGTATTTATTGACCATTTTCTTTTTTTAAGTTTAAATCCTAGTTAGTTAACATACAAAGCAATTTTGGTTTCACGAGTAGAATACAGTGATTTCATCACTTACATAACACCATCCAATTATTGGCCATTTTCTAAATTGAGAGAAGGCAAAAGAATAAACCATGTACGAGAAAGAAGTTTTGAAAACTACCATACCAGGCAAATTGGTGGTTTTCATGCTAATCATCAGAATCCCAATAAAAGGAGGTGACTCTACTTGAGCTGGCCACATAAAGCCATATAAAGTTGAGAAGTGCTAAGGGACACGGGACCAGACCCTTCTTGGCAGACCAGGGGGAGCAGCTCTTGAGCCTCTGGGCTTCCGGTGTCTGGAAGGGCCATGAGGGTTAACGATACCAACGGGTCCGCGACATTTGATGACACGTCAAGCCTGTCCCAAGTTCTGCCTGGGGATTCTGGTGGCCATGGCTTCCCTCAGGCACTCACACTCAGGAAACGTCCAGATGTTCCACAGAACCTCTTTCCCAGCTCGTAACCGTTTATTTTCAGTGGAATTTAGGAGGTGTGCTGCAGTACTGGCATTGGGCGGGACTCTTCTCTGTATCACTGGCTTCATTTAAAAAACTTTTTAATGTTTATTTTTGAGAGACAGAGAGACAGGGCGCGAGTGGGGAAAGGGGCAGAGAGAGAGAGAGAGACAGAACCCGAAGTAGGCTCCAGGCTCCAAACTGTCAGCACAGAGCCCGACTCGGGGCTCAAACTCACGGACCGCGAGATCATGACCTGAACCGAAGTCGGACGCTTAACCGACTGGCACCCAGGTGCCCCTCGCTGGGTTGATTTAAAAAAAAATTGGGGGGCAGGGGGGTGGCACCTGGGTGGTTCAGTCACTTAGGCATCCGACTTCGGCTCAGGTCATGATCTCACAGTTTGTGGGTTCGAGCTCCAGGTCGGGCTCTGTGCTGACAGCTCAGAGCCTGGATCCTGCTTTGGGTTCTGTGTCTCCCTCCCTCTCTCTGCCCCTCCCCCACTCTCACTTTGTCTCACTCTGTCTCTCAAAAATAAATAAATGTAATAAAAAAGTTTAAAACAAAAATAATTTTTTTTTTAGTGTTTCTTTATTTTTGAGAGAGGAGGAGGCAGACTGCAAGTGGGGGAGGGGCAGAGAGAGAGGGACAGACAGAATCAGAAGCAGACTCCAGGCCCCACGCTGTCAGCACAAAGCCCGACAGGGGGCTTGAACCCACAAACCGTGAGATCATGACCTGAGCCAAAGTTTGATGCTCACCCAGCTGAGCCACCCAGGCGCCCCATCACTGGGTTCATTTTAACTGAGCAAAGCAACTTGAGCTTCTGAAAATTAGGGGCAATTGATCTTTTGGAAACCATTTCTGTGTATAGACCCTCCTTAATAACAGTTTGCCCTGGGGTGTTGGGCCCCTCAGTTTGAGGTCTGGCTTGAGAGCCACTATAGGTCCCAATCCAGAAACCCACCCACACTGTGGGCCATGAGACACCCACCTGTGCAGCCTTTGGCGAAGGTCCTATCCATTTCCATCTCTGCTGAGTGTGCTAAGGTAAACCATTTACCTTCTCCGAGCCTGTTTCTCGTGTGTAAAATAATGATGATGCCTCCTTTGTGGGGTTATTTCAAGGATCAAATGAGACAACATATGGAAATGCTTTCATATTTTAAGTTGCTGTAAGAATATTAGGTATTATTAAGGTGGTAAAATAGAAGTAGATTTCTTGTCAATTTAGAATCATTTGTCCTCACAAATAGATGAGGATAGATGAGGATTTTTTAACAGTAAAACAGGAAAAAAAAATCATGTTTAGCCTTAGAAACTGAATGAAATTTCTTTACAGCAGGAGCTGCTTCTTTAGGAGTCTAAAATAACTCAGTGTTTGGAACGTGGTGTTTAATCTGGGGTCCTGTTGATCTAAATTTATTTGAACTTTGGGGCTTAATCGAATCCATCCACACAAGAAAGTCCTTAGCACTTGATGCTCTAATGGGCTGGTGAAATGCACTGATAAGTCCCAGTGTCAGACATCACAATTACCGGCCCTAATCAGTACATAGCTTTAATTAATGATAACTATAATTTACTGCATGTCTATTGATTGAGTGAGTACTTTACAAACATCTCATTTCATTTCGTCCATATGACAATCCCACGAGACAGGAACTTTTATCACCAGCTCCCTCCTGTTTTCGGAAGGAGGAAAAAAGGCCTAAGGAAGATCATCGTCGCCACCTGGCAGACTGGGGTCGGGGATGCATGTCCATCTGATTCCAGAGCTCTGTCCGCTATGTCACGCCATTTCCCTAAACCTCAATTCTTAGATGTATTACTTTCCCCTTGGAGAGTCTGAAAGGGGGAGCTTTTGTGAGCCCCAGGAAAGTGCTCCTTGTTTGAAATAAGAAAATCATTCTTGTGTATGACCTTCTGCAATTTGATCCTGCAATTGCAGTCTTAGCCTCCAAATCTCTTGGAAGAACCAATATTCTCAATTTATACTTACTCGCCGCTTTATTCTTAAATTTATGGAATCCACGTTCTACCTTCAGCATTTCGCTAAAACCACTGTCTCGTCAGGGACCTCATGTTGGCTAACTCCAGTGACGTTTTCTCTGGGAAAGAGTCTGTCCTTCCTTGTTCACACCTGCTACCTTCTCTTCCCTCTCCCCGTCCGGAATGCCTGGCCTTTGTGACTCTGGCCCCTACCATGGTAATGACATAGGTTGACGACGACTCCAGACAAACAAGTCCATGGCCTCTTGCTCCTGCCTCACCCTTCTTTTTTTGTCCGTGGCATTTAAAACTGCTGACCTTCCTCCCGGGGAAATTCTCCTCCCGTGGTTTGGGACCTGCTGTCTGTTTCAGGCTCTCCTCCGGCCGCGCTGGTAGTACCTTGTTTTTACTGTGTTTTCGCCTCTTTTCCTCCAGCTGCCAACACACAGACCTTGGTCTGGTCCTCGGTCCTCTTGGTCTGGTCCTCGCTGCTCCCCCTTTGCACACACAGGGAATTAACTCACTTTTTAAATGATGCGGCCAAAATCCCCCACCTCCCGCCCTAACCTTTCAGGTTCAGTTCCAGACCCTCTTTTCCATCTGCTTCTTGCTCTCTCCTCACACAGCCTTCATCTCAAAAGTTCTGAAAGGGAACCCTTTACCTTCTACCCAGACTTGCCCCTGTGCCAGGGCTCATGGTTGCCAGCCGGACCTGTCTGCGTCTTCAGGTCTTCTTGGCCCATGATCCATCAGCCACTAAGCTGTCCACAAAGTCCTGTTGTCTCCTGCCTCCTTACTTCCTCTCACCCCTCCTTCCCACTCCCTCTCCTTACCCAAGCCATCCCGTCCCCCTCCCCTTGTAAACTCCTCCATTCACCTACACCATGCACTCAATCACGTGCTTTATTCTCCTACTCCAAAATCTTTAACAGCTCTACATAGCCTGTTTAAAAAAAATTCCCACCCTCAACATTGTCCATGCCTGTCCCCAGCCACCCCTTCCAGCCTCTGTTCCCACATGTCCCCACCCGACTTGTCCTTCAGATTGTGGGCAAATTCCATCACTTTTATGATGCTTTTCATGGTGTCCCTGATGGGGCAGCTCTTCCTCCTCCAGAGTCCTCTGGTGCTGTGGCCTACCTCTCTTGGGGACATGTGTGGTCCATGCCACCAACGCCATGATATTACCAGAAAAGGAGCTCATTAGGGACAGGCTTTTTGTCCTGCTCATCTTTATTTTCTAAACATCTGGCATAAGGCCATTTTCTTCCTAGAGTAGATGTCCTATAAAGGTAAAATGAAATTTAGTCGTGTCCTGTAGATAGTCATTAAACAGTTTAAAGCAGTAAATGTAGATTTGATTTTTTTTTTCCTTACTGCAGAACCCTGTTGTCTTCCAGCCACTCTGTTGACAACAGATGGAAATGCCCTTGGGCATTTGCTCTTTTCTTTGGGGGCTAACTCATTTGTAGTACGTGCTGTAGTAATCTCCCCTAACGACCCCAGAGCTCTGGAAATACGAGATCCAATGATCTGTGTATCTGCAAATACCTATCGTAAACGACAATAACCATGTTGTTGGTTAGTCATAACAAGCAACCTTTGTTAGCTTTATATAAATGTTTTCTTAAATTTTATTTTAATAAATTAATGCATTTAATTAAATTTTATTTAATTTGTTTAATTTTATGTTAACAGCTATTATGTTATGAACAAACAAACCGTTTATATAAAGCCGAGAAATCCAGAAGAATATTTGATCACTTTACAAAATCATATTTTTGACCATTGAGTTGAATCTAAATGAATGCAAGAAAGTATTGTGTTGGCACCTGGCTATTAAAATTTAGGGGTAAAATATAGATCTAGAAACCTTTTGGATGTTGCTAAGACCCTGTATTTGGAAAACCGACCACAGGATCTTGGCTGACACCCACACATTTATCGTGTTTGCCAGCATGTGGACATATCACTTGGTTTCCTGTGCTTCCTTGTTATATTTTTGCACGTGAAGGGTTGGTAGGGAGCAGAAAAGGTAGCCTATTGAGTTTCTCTCTATCTCTCCCATAGGTAGGGCCATAATGTATTCCAGATGTAAGTGTGGTGCATTCGGTTGAAACAGTAGGAACTGAATTTCAGATGAACACTTCCAACCTGCTGGTAAAATCCAGAGCAGAAAAGACACTACGTAGGTGTTTTCTACTTAACAAAACGAAGTATAGAATCCCAGGCTGCTGCTGAGATTCTCTCAGCAAGAAGGAATGTGCTGCTAGTTGGTTTTTCTCACCGTGGGAATGCGTTTGTACCAAGCCACCTTCCCCATCTGACAGGGACTTGGTTGGGGCTGTGGGTGCAATTTAGAGACACAGAAAAGTTAAAAATGTGAAGCCTCTGTCTCACCTGGTTCCTGCTTAACATCCTCCAGTGGCTGTCTACTTTGCCTTCAGAGTACATTCCAAGCTCAGCATGCAGGTTGTTATCTGGGCCCCACATTTCTCTCTGAGATCATTCCTTACCTCTCGTCACTGCTGCGCCCAGCCCCACAGCCACGCTGAGTGCCCTGCCTTCGCAGACTCCTCACACTCCAGGCCTTGCTGTCCCTTCTTCCTGGAATGCCCTCCTCCACCTGTTTTTGCCTCTCCTCCTCATTATTCCATTGACTTGGCTAATTCCGACTCATCCTTGGAAACTTGAGTCTTGTTTCCTCCTCCTCCAGCCTTGAGTCTGGCTTTCCTCCAGAAGCCTTCCGGTCTGGCTGAGGGGCCTCCTTTGTGCTCCTTACAGATCTTTGAGCTCTCTTCAGTGACCTAGCACTGATCATACGCTGCTGTAACGGTCTTTCTTTCCACCTCCCCCAAGACCATCAGCTTTCCTGAAGGCAGAGGCCATCCTTTTATTTTTGGGTGCCCAGAGTATGTCAGATTACCTCACACGCCACAGGCATCCAAAAAGTTATTTGCGTGAATGGATCTAGAAGTGTTGATGTTCACGGTACCACGCGCCGGCCATGGCGCTCGGAAGGCTGAGATGCGGGGCGTGTGATGGCAGGACTACCTCTTGGCACAGATCAAACACTCGAGGCTCAGCCGAGCCATAGGCCCCCAAGCCAGCCTCGATGCTCTCGTTAGTCATGAAAGTAAATCCAAAAATCCACGCAGGCTGAGAAATTTGAGACAAGGTCCCTCACAGTTGGTAGGGAAAACCAAATCATCAAGCAGCATATATGTGTATGATAGATCGAAGTGCTGTGCAGAGAAGGAGAATGAGGGAGAGGGGAGTAAAGGACGGGGCCTGTGGCATCAGGTGGGATGGTTTCGGAGAGGGTCATTGATGATGAGGATGATTGCCACACCTATGTATTGGGTACCCAAGGACCTACTCAAAGCTGGAGGTGAGCTTAAAAAAAATTTGAAAGGAAAGCGACCCCAGCATGTTCTCCCCAGGAGAGCCTCTAAAGTTGGGAGATGAAATTCGCTCTGACAAGTCTTTTTGCAGCAAGTTGATTTGTGACCATGCTGTGTGCATTGTTAGCCAACAAAATGGGGCGAATCATTGAGTCTGTGGTGTTATTCAGGTCAAGCCCTGCCTTTGAGCTGAATCCAAGCCCCACGATCAATCCCCTCCCCACTGCAGCCATCTCCACCACCAGATAAGCTGGGGGCTCGTTGCCAGAAGTAGCCATGCGCTTGGCTTTGCCCAGAATCAATCAGTCAAAAACTAGCTGCCGAGCTCCTACCGTGTGCCTGGAGCTGGGGTGAGGGTCAGTTACATCTGTTTAGAGCAGCGTAAGAGACACCCGTGCCGATCCTTCCTGCAGTCTAGTGAAGGAGACCAAATTCTTTCATTGATAGAATCCACTGCCTAACCGCTAACAGGCAATTTACAATTCAGTGCAAAATTATGTGATGTAGACTGTAATTGCTGTGGAACTGAGACCCTTAAAGCACTCTTTTGTGTGCCAGGACACTATACTTCACACACTGGCCTGCTCTGCACAGCACCCAGAACTGCCAGCATTATGGTCTTCATTGTATAGGTGAGGAAGCAGAGGTCTGCCTAACCTGTAACCAACCTCCACAGGGTTACAAGGAGGCCTCTGTGCACCTCTGGGTAGAGGAGAGGTTGCCTCTTCTCCAGCTGCTCCCTTGCTTTTCGCGTCCCGTAAGGTAATGGTGAAGATCAGCGAGAGACCTTGTAAGAAGCCCTTGACAGGTGTTAGACACAGAGCTGGCTGAGACAGTGGAAGGTGAACCTGGATGTCCCCACCTGTCCGCTGCCTTCTTGGAGGCTTGTGCCCTACAGCTGAGCCCAGCAGCACTGAGAAGTATTCCTGTGGGTGAGTTTAGAGTGGGTGGGAGAGCTGTCTATCCTCAGGGAAGAACCTAGTGCTTTAGCGGTGATTAAAAACGTAGCTTCACCCAGAGCCAGGATTTTCTTACACTGCTTGGGAATAGGTGAAAAGAAAAGGAAAAACGGATAAGAAGCCCACTGGGTTTGTTGGTTAGGAGACTCCCGCTGCTGGGGGACAGTTTTAGCAAAACTCTGTGCTTTGAAGTGTGGCTGCTTATTCTATTCTTGACAAACCATTGTCTTTCTCACCTGATTTCCATATCATCTCTTAGAGCTCTACACGTATCTAAATATATATGCTTATACTCAGATGTGTTCTTTCCCCCTGATTAGCTAATCTTTGAAGAAATCTCTACAGTTGCTCCCTGCCCGGGCTCACGGCACTGTTCCTAGCAAGCCATCCATTGTGACCAACTCCTTGAAGTCAGTAGGCATCCTCCCTCCAGGCAGGTCTTGAGGAGGAAACTCTGTGGCCTTGCCCACGGCCCGAGAGCTCTCAATGCCATCCGAAGTTGCTAGCAAGCTCTCTGTGGTTGAGGCCAACTCACTGATGTAGAGGCTTTTGTACTCCACGCTTTTCGTTGGATTTTCAGTGTGGTAAAGACATCCATACCATCTAAACGAACAGCAGGAAACATTAATTCCTCATCACACAATTCAAAAGAGTCACAGGTGAATTATGCATTTGGTATTGTAAGAGCTTCTCAACTAACAATGGCAGATGCCACCCAGAGTTTCCTCCAAAAACAACATTAGAAAAAGCCTCCTTCACCACACA